TCATAATTCCAATTCAACAATTCTCAATTACATGAATTTCATAATATGACATTAACAATTATCAATTATATGAATTTCAATTTTTTGAATTTTATTCTTAATTAAAAAAAATTACTTTTAAAAACCTAATTTCCTTTTAATTCCTCAACAAGCAAAAAAAAAAACAATTTCTAATTCAACAAATATCGGTTGGTTTATTCACAATCCAAAATTCAAAATATAGACATTTTTATTCACAAGCATAATTTAAAAATTCCAATTTCTGATTTCAAATTTCAAAATATAGACATTTCATAATTCCAATTCAACAATTCTCAATTACATGAATTTCATAATATGACATTAACAATTATCAATTATATGAATTTCAATTTTTTGAATTTTATTCTTAATTAAAAAAAATTACTTTTCAAACCCTAATTTCAAACTCTAATTTCCTTTTAATTCCTTTTAACAAGCAAAAAAAAAAATTTCCAATTCAACAAATATCGGTTGGTTTATTCACAATTCAAAATTCAAAATATAGACATTTTGATTCACAAGCATAATTTGAAAATTCCAATTTCTGATTTCAAATTTCAAAATATAGACATTTCATAATTCCAATTCAACAATTCTCAATTACATGAATTTCATAATATGACATTAACAATTATCAATTATATGAATTTCAATTTTTTGAATTTTATTCTTAGTTAAAATAAATTACTTTTAAAACCCTAATTTCAAACCCTAATTTCCTTTTAATTCCTCTTAACAAGCAAAAAAAAAAAACAATTTTCAATTCAACAAATATAGGTTGGTTTATTCACAATTCAAAATTCAAAATATAGACATTTTGATTCACAAGCATAATTTTAAAATTTCAATTTCTGATTTCAAATTTCAAAATATAGACATTTCATAATTCCAATTCAACAATTCTCAATTACATGAATTTCATAATATGACATTGACAATTATCAATTATATGAATTTCAAATTTTTTAATGTTATTCTTAATTAAAAAAAATTAATTTTAAAACCCTAATTTAAAACCCTAATTCCAAACCCTAATTTCCTTTTAATTCCTCTTAACAAGCAAAAAAAAAAACAATTTCCAATTCAACAAATATAGGTTGGTTTATTCACAATTCAAAATTCAAAATATAGACATTTTGATTCACAAGCATAATTTCAAAATTCTAATTTCTGATTTCAAATTTCAAAATATAAACATTTCATAATTTCAATTCTCAATTCTCAATTATATGAATTTCATAATATGACATTAACAATTATCAATTATATGAATTTATGATTTATGATTTATGAATTTCATAATTCCAATTTTTAATTCTCAATTCTCATATTTATGATTTATTTAAAAAATTCAAAAAATTCAAAATATTCCAAACCTGATTTATGATTCAAAACCCTTAATTTTTTGAACCCTAAAATGTCATCCTAAAAGGATGTGTGAACAGTCTGATATCGAGCAACAATTATCTTTAGAACCCTAATTTCGTAACCACACTGATAAAGCATAAAAAATCCAAACCCAAATATTCAATTCACAAGCAACATCCAAAAATTCAAAAGCATAAAAAATTCCACAAATTCAAAAGCACAAATTCAAACCCTGATTTCTGATTTCAAAAAATTCCAAACCCTAATTTCATAACCACACTAATAAAACCCTAACACATTAGAACCCTAACACATTTAATAATTCACATTTAAAACCCTAACATCTACAGTTTCACAAACACATTCACATTTTTCACAAACACAATAAATAAATACATAAAATTCAAATGATACAGACAGAGCTAGATGTCATACCACGGAGAGAAAGAGAGAGAGTAGAGAGCAGAGGGAGAGCGAGAGCGACAGTGAGAGCCGAAGCAGAGCGAGATCGAGAGCGAGTGAGTCTGAGAGCAAAGGGAGATGGAGAGTGAGAGCTAGAGAGTCTGAGAAATGAGAGAGATTGAGCAAGAGACGAAAAACCTAAGTGTCAAAAACGTGATTGCAAATGAGGCCATACTCGTGTTTTATATGAGTTTTAAAAGCATTCTTTCAATTAGTGTTTTCATTAATTAACAGTGAAATTCATAAAAGAAATGCACAGTAAAATCGCTATTTGAAATAGCGTTTTCTTCACAAAATGAATCCACAAATAAAGCGCTATTTAGAATAGCGTTTTATTCAGAAAAAAAAAAATTACCTTAAAATCACTATTTCAAACAGTGTTTTCTTAATTAAAATCGTGATTCACAATAGCACCTTCACTATTCATCAAGTTTTGGACTCTAAACAGTGAAAGCATAATTTGTAATAGCGCTTTAACTTAGTTTGAAAAATCCGTCTAAACTAAGCGTAGTTTGAGAAATAGGATGCAAAAGAGACTCAGGCCTCGTTTGGGAACAGGCTAATTTAGTAACTTTTTGGCTATTTGGCTAAAATATGAGTTAAAAAAAACTAGTATGTTTGGGATGATTTTTTAAATTTTTACGAAAAGATGTGCAAAAAGTAGAGAGAAAAGAGAATCTTTGAATTTTTAGTATGAATTATTGACTTTTTAACTAATTTAATAACTTTTTAACTTTTTAACTAAAAATGAAAGTTTCCAAAGGAGGCCATGGGAAAAGCCCGTTTAAGCTTTGGTGTTTTTCCCTGAAGTCATTCATTCTCTGGTGTTTTTCCCTTGTCTCTATCATGACTCAAGCGCTTTGGTGTTTTTCCCTTAGAGTCTCTATCATTACTTTTCCCTGAATGAGGCTATTTTGACTTCCCAAACACCGCTTTGTATATACCTCCCATTACAAATCTAATCCACACCAACACCGTATGCATTTTGTGAGAGTGTTGGAAATGAATCCGTCTGAAAAAGTTATTCGACTCCCTCCGGTTGTGGCGGTGCCGCCGCCCCCCTCATATTCCGCCGCCGCCGCTGCCTGAAGCTGTAGTACAAGTTCCCCATCCTCTTGATGCCGCCGCCGAGCCTTCTGAATCGCTAGCCCAAGCTCCTCCTCCTCTTGATGCCCCGCCTGAACAAGTAATTCAACGCAATGCTCAGCAACAAGACCTAGAATTGCCGAAGCTAGTTGTAGTTTGGCAGCAGCTTTTGAAATCGGCTTCCGATCCGTCCAGACTCGTAAAGAGTACCCTATAACCTTCCAATTGCTGTGTCTCTTAATGGTGTTTGCACTCGCTTTTCTCGTTGTTGCTAAATACATCGTTGCCAACTACCCAAAACCAGGCCGCTTGCTTGAGCACGCTGGACTACTCTGTGGAGTTACCGCTTTCTTTGTGACCAAACATATATAAATATTAAATGTGACCAAAAGAAACTAATAATAATTAAAATTAATATCCATAAACTACCCAAAACCAGGCCGCTTGCTTGAGCATGCTGGACTACTCTGTGGAGTTACCGCTTTCTTTGTGGCCATCACCGTCCCTTTCCCTCTCTACCTCAAGCTCATTTCCTGGATCGTATATGCTCTTTCATTGCTTGCCATTTCCATCTGCAATTGCCCTCTACGTGAACCCTAATGCTAATCCTGTAGCACAGGATTGTCATTCAGGTTGCTTCTTTATGGATATTAATTTTAATTATTATTAGCTGCTTTTAAAGGATTTGGGAGTTTTACACTGTTTGTAAAATTGTCTTGTTTATTGGAATTACTTCCATCAATTATTAGTATAGTTTCATTTTTTTGATTATGCTCATTGATAGTGAATGTGTTAGGGCTAGCATATGATTGAATTGCACAGGAACTCCCATTTGCAAAATTTTCAGGATCTGGAATCTGAAATTCAATTTTTTACTTTTCCTCTTCAATTCACTGTATGATAAATTGTGGAAACTAAGAGATTGCATCGACAGTTCACAAGAAATGTGCATTTGATCCCAAAAGCAATATTATTAATGCAATTTGGTGATGGAAAACAAGTAGTGAACATTTTTGTTACTTAAGTTTGATTATTAATAAGCATGATGTCGTTGGAGGTGCTATGATTCATTGGATCGAAATATATTGGTTAAAGTGGGAGAGTATGTGACATATTGACGTATTCTGTGACTCGTATGAATTTACTTATTTAACTAAGCATAAAATCATTGATAGAAAAATGATTCGTGTAGCCAACCACACTTGAATGGGACATAAAACTTAGCTTTGATTTGGTTTGGTTTTTTGATGGGGCATATTCAATAAATGAATTCTATCAAAACAAGAAAAAAATCTAGAAGAAAAGGGGAAAAATCCAAGGAACAAATCCCATTGCACATATTGTCACCACTTTTCAAGATGATGTGAAACTATGTTGGAGAATCTTTTATTGAAGGCCAGCTCCTTCTTCTTCCTGTGTAATAATTTGACTAGGTAATTGGTATTTCATGTGAAAATGGTTTTGGTATCACAATTTGTAAGTATTAACAAAAACCCTCAAAAAGCAATGAAGTTTATGCTAAGATTTCTTCTGGAATACAAAAACAATGCCACATCAAAACAATAGGAGAATCTTAAATTTCTTATTAAAGATTATTTTGCGGTGAAGATGATGGTCGTTAATGCACTTTGTTGTCATTTAATTGTTAGATAGCTCAATATACATTGTTGGGTCCATTTCCTAATAACTTAAGCTTTTGAAAAAATTGGTAATGTAACATGGTATCAGAGGTTTGGTTGAGAGAGGTCTTGGGTTTAGGTCTCTCAGTTGGCATTTGGTATTTTGTCTCTGTTTAGTTTCTTCCTCTTTGTTTTGTTGTTTGCTTCTCCTTCTGTTTGGTTCTCCACGTGCAAGATGGGGTTGCACTTGAGAGAGGTTGTTAGATAGCTTAATATACATTGTTGGGCCCATTTCCTAGTAGCTTAGGCTTTTGAGAAAATTGGTAACTTAACAACACTAATGGTGGTAAATATATATATATGTTAAAATTTACCATCACCTACCACACACTTACCATCACCTACCACACACTCACCTACTACACTCACCTACCACCACCATCCACTACACCTACATCTATATAAGGAACCATTTGTAATAGACAGGATATCAACAATACATCAATCAATAATACATCAGTTTTTTTACATGGTATCAGAGCAATAAGATTTAGGCCTATATTCCTTTTTTTCCGGCGGGCAGTCGGCTGGCACCCATGCCTTTGCTGCCCGCTAGAATTTTCAACACCTCCACAGAGTATGGCTCAATCCCAAGCTTACTTCCATCAAACACATAAGTTCCAATTGCCACGGATAGCCCACCAAAATACCACCACCTTCTTCAACCCTTCCTGTCCGAACCGGCCTCCTCTCCTTCACTTCTCTCGCCGACAACGTCAAGTGGCGCTGAAGAGAATAGCGAACAAGATCAATCGGCCAGTGACTTTCTCGAAAAGGCGTTCTGGGTTGCTGAAGAACGCTCACGAGATCTCTGTCCTTTGCGACGCCGATATCGGTCTCATCATCTTCTCCGCCAAAGGCAAGCTCTTCGAGTACTCCACCACTTCCTGTATGGAAAGAATCCTTGAACGATATGAGAGATATTCATATGCAGAAAGGCAGCTTGTTGCAGCCGATATTGATTCACAGGTACGCTGGACTCTGGAACACGTGAAACTCCAGGCCAGGCTAGAGGTTCTAGACAGAACCCAAAGGCATTTTATGGGAGAAGACCTTGATACATTGAGTGTCAAAGAACTTCAGAGTTTGGAGCACCAGCTTGACTCTGCTCTTAAACATATAAGATCAAGAAAGAATCAACTAATGAATGACTCCATCTCCGAGCTTCAGACAAAGGATAAGGCACTGCTGGAGGAAAACAAATTGCTTGCAAAGAAGATTAAGGAAAAGGAGGGGAAGGCTCTTGCCCGACATGCACAATTGGAGCAGCAAAACCAAGACCCAGCTCAGATTCGGTTTACACCTCTCTCTCTCCGCAAAACCCACCATTTGTTTTTTAACCCACTTCCTCTCTCCACTCAAGGACATGCACATCTTTGTCCACTTTTCAACCCTTTCCTTCCTCTTTTTGCACCCCACTCACAGATTCACACACCATCACTAGTTTTTATTAAGATTGTTTATGCAATCAAATTTCCTTCCAGCTTCTAGGAATCTCAACCAACCCATCACCAATCTAGCATGGAATCAATGCCAATAAGTATTAGGACCAATGCCATACTAAGTGGTAAGGACAATGAAACATTAAGGAATGAGCAGAGGCTAGCCATGATATCAACTCAACAAATTGAAAATGTCTTCATCTTGGTGGATATTAGGTAAGTGAGAAATTATGCATAGTATTAAATGCTATAATACAATTGCAGTGGCTAAAAGAGGTAGGTAGTATCTATACAGGCATAATTGAAATAAAACATAAAATGAAGCACATTGCATATTGGTTCTCCATGCAGATGCTTCAACCAGAGTGACTATGGACAAGGATCTTAAGTGGAAAAAGAAATACTAACTTAGGGTAGATATCAAAATCATAAAATTACAGGAAATCATTATAATATATCTAATCACTAGAAATCATCAGCAGATGCAGTTTCCCACTTTGCCTTAATTAGTACCATGAATTATAAAACTACTCGAATGAACAGAGACACAGTTGTGCTATATGAAACTAATAGGGACGACTACAAAACTTATGTTACAGTCATCAGAAAGAGCACATACATTTCAAATGCAAAATATACTCAGAGTAAATTGTTTAAAGAGAATGTTCATTTCACAGAATAATTATCAAGTGATCGTGATTCGTAAGTAGGTACCCACCCTTTTCCAGCAGACACCTGCAGAAAGAAATCAACATGAAATAAATATTTAAGGGGGACTTACGTGTAGGTCATAATAAGTAGACTTATTATTCAATAGGTCCTATAATAATTAATGGTGTTTTTCATGAAATATTATTAAAAAATGTCACTTATTGTTAATTTTCATTGATAATTTGAAAATTGTCACACAAAATGTCATAATTATAAGCTTTAGTGATAGTTTAAAAAATTCGTCACATAAAAACGTCATTAATTATAAGTTTTTAGCAACAATTTATAAAAATTGTGACAAAAAAAAGTCACTAATTGTCAAATTTTAACGACATTTGCAAAAAATCGTCACAAAAACCTATTTTTAGCGACAGTTTTGCTAAGACTTATTTTCAATAGGACTTGATGCGAAATTGGTAGTTTACCCAATATTTTAATAGATAGCAAGTTTACTTTGAAACTAAAACACAGAGCAAGAGTTTGGAAAACAGCCAGCGATCAACCCATTAGGAAAATTTTCTCAACTTATGACCTCGTGAGTTAACGAAACATTTTTCACATCAATATCAATTGAGATTTCCAACAGTAAGAATGTAGTGAAGCCAATGTTTTTGTTTACTGCATAGGGCACAGCAAAGCAGTATGTGACTTCATGTATAGAAATCTCACAACATTGTCTGCTACAACGGTCCGACATGACCCCATAAACTGTCTTCTACATCGGTCTGACACAACCATCCAGTGTCCTCTACAACGTTATGACACCACCATACAGTGTCTTCACCATCGGTCTGACACGACCATACAGTGTCTCCTATCCTCTTTTAATTTTTATGTATTTTCTTGTTTTGTAACTCTCTCCAAACTCAAGTTGGTTAGTTCCTATCCTCCTTGAGTTTGCGGGGGGCTGTTAAAATTTACCATCACCTACCACACACTTACCATCACCTACCACACACTCACCTACTACACTCACCTACCACCACCATCCACTACACCTACATCTATATAAGGAACCATTTGTAATAGACAGGATATCAACAATACATCAATCAATAATACATCAGTTTTTTTACAATATATATATATTCATGTGCCAACATTTTTTTAAATGTTTCTCATATTGACATGCTGTTGAAACGTCTGTTGACAAATTGGTGGACGATGGATCCTTGTATTGTTATTATAGTTGTTTAACTTTTCAATGTCAATGTCATGATTGGTAGAAAATTACAAGTTAAATAAATTACACTGGCAATATCCATTTGTTGCATGATTTCTTTTCCCTTTCCTAAGTGAGAATTGCTTGTTGATGGCTTCTTGACTTGTTTATGGGTATGACTTTGATAAGTTTTATAATGCAAATATATATATTGAATGGTATAACATTCCTTGTTTTTTAAACTAAAATATTAGTTGTTAATTTCATCTAATCATTAATGTCAACCTTGTGGAACTTCTCTAATATGTACCGATTTTGATTGCATTTTGTTCTTTGAAGGGATTGGAAATAAGCAAAGAAGCATGACATGGAATAACAGGTACACAATACATGTCCTATTCTTGAACTTTATGTTCTCTCTTATGTATTTGTATGTATGCTTCTTGAACTTGTATTCACTAGTTAATTGTTTCAAATTTGCATAACAGTCCTTCTCTATTTTTTTCACCTTCATTCTTTTCGTCTCTTTCACTTTCCAATGCCGACCACTACTCCAATGCCCTCCATAGCCATCCCCCACCACTTCTCCAACCTCCACAACCACTGTCACTGCTATGGAGGGCAAGAAAGTAGTGGTCGGCATTGGAAAGTGAAGGAGACAGAGAGAATGAAAGAGAAAAATAGAGAGGACAAAGTGCAAAAGTGGGAGACAAGGTGCAAGTCCATGTGTAGGGTGGTGTGGGGTGCAAGTCATGTCTATGTGGAGTGCAAGTTGTTGGTAGACAGATTGATTTTATCAGAAACAAAAATAAAGGGCGATGGGAAAAATGGAATTGGGGTTGACGGTGGTTGGAGAAGGGGGACAATGGTTATGATGGGTGAGGGGGTGATGGTCAACATTGGAAAGTGAAGGAGACAGCAAGAATGAAAGAGGAAAATAGAGAGGACAAAGTGCAAAAGTGGGAGACGAGGTACAAGTCCGTGTGGAGGGTGGTGTGGGGTGCAAGTCATGTCTGTGTGGAGTTCAATGAGCATAATCAAAAAAATAAAACTATACTAATAATTGATAGAAGTAATTCCAATAAACAAAACAATTTTACAAACAGTATAAAACTCCCAAATCCTTTAAAAGCGGCTAATAATAATTAAAATTAGTATCCATTAAAAAAAGGAACCTGAATGATCCTGTGCTATAGGATTAGCATTAGGGGTTCATAGTGTGAGGGCAATTGCAGATGGAAATGGCAAGCAATGAAAGAGCATATACGATCCAGGAAATGAGCTTGAGGCAGAGGGGGAAAGAGACGGTGATGACCACAAAGAAAGCAGTAACTCCACAGAGTAGTCTAGCGTGCTCAGGCAAGCAGCCTGGTTTTGGGTAGTTGGCAACGATGTATTTAGCAGATGGAAATGGCAAGCAATGAAAGAACATATACGATCCAGGAAATGAGTTTGAGGCAGAGGGGGAAAGAGACGGTGATGGCCACAAAGAAAGCGGTAACTCCACAGAGTAGTCCAGCGTGCTCAAGCAAGCGGCTTGGTTTTGGGTAGTTGGCAACGATGTATTTAGCAACAACGAGAAAAGCGAGTGTAAACACCATTAAGAGACACAACAATTGGAAGGTTATAGGGTAGTGTTTACGAGTCTGCACGGATCGGAAGGTGATTTCAAAAGTTGCTGTCAAGCAGAACGCTACAACTAGCTTCGGCAATTCTAGGTCTTGTTGCTGGGCATTGCGTGGAATAACTGGTTCAGGTGGGGCATCAAGACGAGGAGGAGGAGGAGCTTGGGCTACTGATTTAGAAGGCTCGGCGGTGGTGGCAGCAGCTGCATCAAAATGATTGAGAATTTGAATCATTGATTCAGAAGGCGGCGGAACTTGGGCTCCCAAGTGTTCTTGGGTCGTGTTGGAGGCTGGAAAACCGCCCAAGTCTGTCGATCCAGATGGAATTACTGGTTCAGGCGGGGCATCAAGACGAGGAGGAGGGTAAGGATAAGCATACTTTGGATCATTCATCTTTGCAACACAACCCCAAAACAAGAAAAACAAAAACAAAAACAAAGACAAAAACAAGAAGAAGATGATGATGAAGGAAAGATCAGAGAAACAGAGAGAGAGAGATGCGCTTGAGTGGTCTCACCTTGCTCAAACTTGTAGTTGTTAAATAGACGAGCTAGCTATATGTCGAAAACAAAAAGCACTAGCTGGTTAAATTCAACATGTCTTGAATAGAATGTTTTCTTTATTTTCTCTTGAATAGAAAATATTCTTTATGAACCCTGTATCCACTTTTTCCATAGTTGATGCAAAAAAACATTTATGGCCTTTATATTCTAGTTTCATAAAGAACCCATCAACAAGAGATTCTTAAGGGAAAAGGAATCCTACAACAAACTTATATTTCTGGCCTTTATCTTTTAGCTTTGTAAAGAATTGATCATTATTTTAGCTTTATTTTTAGCTTTGAAAAGAAATTCTTTTAGCTTTATTTTTAGCTTGGAAAAGGAATTCTTTTAGCTTTATTTTTAGCTTGGAAAAGGAATTCTTTTAGCTTTATTTTTAGCTTGGAAAAGGAATTCTTTTAGCTTTATTTTTAGCTTGGAAAAGGAATTCTTTTAGCTTTATTTTTAGCTTGGAAAAGGAATTCTTTTAGCTTTATTTTTAGCTTGGAAAAGGAATTCTTTTAGCTTTATTTTTAGCTTGGAAAAGGAATTCTTTTAGCTTTATTTTTAGCTTTGAAAAGAAATTCTTTTAGCTTTATTTTTAGCTTGGAAAAGGAATTCTTTTAGCTTTATTTTTAGCTTGGAAAAGGAATTCTTTTAGCTTTATTTTTAGCTTGGAAAAGGAATTCTTTTAGCTTTATTTTTAGCTTGGAAAAGGAATTCTTTTAGCTTTATTTTTAGCTTGGAAAAGGAATTCTTTTAGCTTTATTTTTAGCTTGGAAAAGGAATTCTTTTAGCTTTATTTTTAGCTTGGAAAAGGAATTCTTTTAGCTTTATTTTTAGCTTTGAAAAGAAATTCTTTTAGCTTTATTTTTAGCTTGGAAAAGGAATTCTTTTAGCTTTATTTTTAGCTTGGAAAAGGAATTCTTTTAGCTTTATTTTTAGCTTGGAAAAGGAATTCTTTTAGCTTTATTTTTAGCTTGGAAAAGGAATTCTTTTAGCTTTATTTTTAGCTTGGAAAAGGAATTCTTTTAGCTTTATTTTTAGCTTGGAAAAGGAATTCTTTTAGCTTTATTTTTAGCTTGGAAAAGGAATTCTTTTAGCTTTATTTTTAGCTTTGAAAAGAAATTCTTTTAGCTTTATTTTTAGCTTGGAAAAGGAATTCTTTTAGCTTTACGTCTGGCTTATTTATTCTCTTTTCTGCAAACTGTGCTTTAAGCCGTATGAAATGTTCATGAGTACTGTCATTGCTTCTAATCTGGATTTTCACATGACTTTGTGGATACATCTCTCATTGATAACATCTAAAATAACTTCAAAAGACTGATAAGTGATGTGCGCTTGGCCGGTCACAATGATCTTCGGTGCTATTACTGGAATAGAACAACCAACTTCACTGGATAATTATACTTGATTGACTAGCATAAGCAAATAATATGAAGTGCCAAGCACTTAAAAGGTATTGATCATTCTCAGTGACTCCTATTAGTTCTTCTGTGTCATTTTACATCCTTTAACATTTGCTCAATATTGATGACTGCGTATTTCAATAAACTCACAGAATTTGACTTTCTTCATAGAATGCTTGCATGGCAGTGAAGCTGTAATATCTACTCAGACAGTTCTCACATCCTAATTATCTCTAGCATGTGAGTGATTTTATCTATGCATTATCCACTTATTATATAAATGAGTTCAAATTTCCAGTTGCAGGATGTTGATGAATGACACACTGTCAATGGCAGATCCTTGAACTTACCAAAAAAAAGAAAAAAAGGAAAGAAAAGAAAGAAAGGTAGATCCTTCAACTTATACTTATATGATGAACAAAATATTCCAGTTCAGATTCAATTACTATATGCTGATATGCCAGTAGCTAGGGACTTCATTTTTCTTGTTTAGAGGCTTATTACCATCATTTTTATTGCTTTTTGTGCTATTTAACTCGTTACAAAGCCTTGTTTTTAGTGTAACTCTATTGGATTCTATGTCAATTTCATCGCTGATATGAACAATTAAGATTACTGGAAAATCTTTTACTCTCAACATTGTGAGTTCTAACCTGCTAAAGTTAGCAGATGCTAATTTTTATTTCGAGTCAGCTTGAGGATGGTTGCACTGTGGCAATGCATTTTTCTATTGGTTAAATGGTGGATCATCTCCCATATAAATAAAAAGAAAGAAAAGAAAGAAAGAAAGAAAAAAAAGGAAAAAAAATGGTGGATCATCAATCTTACATGACAATAATATTCTATTTAGCTTGTCAAAAAGCCTTGTTTTAGTGTAACTCTGCTGGGTTCTATATCAGTTTCATCGCTGATATTGAATAATTAAGATTACTGGAAAATTTGTTACTTTCAACATAGAGAGTTCTAACTAGCTGAAGCAAGCAGATGTTAATTTTTATTTCGAATCAGCTTGAGGATGGTTGGACTGTGGCAATGCATTTTTCTATTGGTTAAATGGTGGATCATCAATCTTACATGACAATTTTCTGTTGTAGGCAATGTGATGGTAGTTGGCTTTTCTAACATAAATTCTTCAACTAATTAAGGCGTAGTGATGGCTAAAGGAAATTGTTTGCTAATGAAGATCCAGTCATCCTCTGATCAGCTGCTATTATGTAGCTTGGGTATTTTTTATATTAACATAAACAGTTAGGGGTGAACCGCTGATATGTACCTTGGGTATTTTTTATATTAACATCAACGGTTAAGGGTGAAGGATGGAACATTTCATTTTGCATGACAACTTGGTAATTTGAAATATACTTGTATAATCATATTACCGTACAAGGAATGTTTATCTTGGACTTATGAATAGGGATTTTCCAGACCAAACAACTCTTTGGCTCAATTGATTTGTACCCGAAGTTGACATCCTCTTACTTTTGTTTCACATCAAAGTCTTTCCTACAAACGTGTATTGTCCAACAAGATGAGGGATTTTAACTTTGTTAATTAAAAATTTCTTTTCTATGGTAGAAATGTGATTCTCAAACAATTAAGAACTGTCAAGGTAGTGAAACGGCACATGAATAAATCATCTTCTTAGAGGGAACAAGGTTTGACGAACCAAGACATTGATTATGGATGTTCTAATGAAATTCAGCTGTGACATTGAAGTTTATTTTATGCCGTTGATGTTGTCCTGTTTCGTTACATTCTGTTTTGTTTCTAAAGTGGCAAAAGTTGAAGTTTCCCTGAAGTAGTCACTCAAGAATAATGTGGAGCACTCCCCAGTTGCACAAGTGACCTCTACATACTGGAGAGCTGTCCATAAGCTACTCTAGGTCCAGAACACCATTTCGGAGTCCCAGAAGCACCAGGTAATTTTTCTACTCTTCAACCTCTGTCTCAAATATTCTTCCCTAGCTTTCCCACTACGCCTTCTGCTGCCTAAATCCTAAAGACTGCAGTGATGGAGCAGCAGTGTCAACCAAAATCTTTGGTTGTTGCTCAACATCATCTTAATTGGCCTAAGCAAATGATTGCATTTTGCTTAACTTCATCTGTCAAAATAGCCATCCAATTTATTCAAACCTGACTACTCAACTTCCTCCAATTTTTTTTTTCCATTGCCTTCTCACTAGCCTTTGCCTCCCACTTTGTAGTGAGTTACCTATCACAGCCCAAGCTTTATAGTGACTTGCTATCTTCTTTGCTGCCACAGCATTCTGCATTGCTATATGATTCCCTACAACAGCAGTCCTCGCAGGCACCAACTGGTCTGTTTATGCTGTCTCCATGCTACTCATTCTCATATAGACCACACTAATAAGCATAAACGAGAACCAACCCCCACCAACCCCAAAAAAAAAAAACACACGCGCGCGCGCATTTTGTCCAGTGTCTGTAAGAATATGAATATGTACACTCACACAGCAGAGGCAGAGTATGGAAGGTTTTGTTTGAGCAATTTGCAGAGAATGAAAATGCCTTGGTGGGAAGGCTACCTACTTCAGAAATTGTTCTTGAAAATCTTCCATTGGTGCTTGTGGATGACGACAATGCACTTTGTGTAGTTTGTAAGGATCATACAAAAATTGGGGAACAAGGAAAGCAGCTACCTAGTTCATTCCTTTACCAAAGAGCATGTCATGTGCAGTGAAGTATTCTAAGCTCAGGTTTTATCTTGAAGTTTTTTTTCATGAGCGTCAGATTGTATCCATTGTACATAATGACGTTGAATAGTCTCATTGTGCAAATCACTTATATTTTCATCATTGTAGATATAATTATGTTTTGCCCCATGTGTAATTTACCTCCTGATAAATGAGCATGTAATTACCTTTTGTCCAAAAATGTATTTCACTGTTCAATCCACAAGCCATAGAGGATAATCACACATAGATCAAATTACAAAGTGTAAAATCCACCTTACTTTGGAAAAAATACTCTAGTAAGGAAAAATGGCTAGGGTATAGTGTGTTTAATATTTCAATTTGTGTTTTATATTTCAATTAAAATTTGAATAAACATGAGGTTGTTTGTACTTTTGTGTTGTTTTGACGTCCATGTTGTAATGGTTCAATGATTTGCTCATGTGTAGTAAGTTATTTTTCATTTAAAATTTGATTTGAATCAATAATTGGGTGAAGTTTAGGTAGAATTTTATAAAATTATAGGAGAACAAACTATTATAGGTGGATTGAGAAAGTGGAAGATAAATAAATAAAAAAAATGTTCTATGTATGAAAACTCTTACTAAAACTTTTGATGATATATATATGTTTAAATATCATTAGATGTCCAAGCATTATTATATTTTTCACAATCAAATCTATTTAATCTTTTGTACTTTTAGCAAAAATTTTAGTGAGAGTTTTCTATATGGGTAAATTATACTTTGTCCCCTTTAAGTTTGGCCACTTCACTTTGGCTCTTAAGTTTATTTTTTTTCACTTTGACCCTTTATGTTTCATGTGTTTTCCCAATTTACTCCTAAAACTATTTTTTGTTTGGAATTAGACAAAAATGTCACGATAACTGTCACATAACATAAAAAAAAAATTATTATATTAGGGTTTGAGTTTGTATTATATGTGCAAGTTATATATAATAAATAATTGGGTTAATTACATAAAAAATTCCAGGGTTTCATGCCATTTTCATTTTAAACCCTAGGTTTTCAATTTCGACAAATTAAACCTCATCCTTCCACCTGTGTTTCAATTTGGCTCCCCGTCCATCTCCATCATATTGAACAAAAATTTGGACAAAATTTCAGATTCAAACCCATATGTTTAAGCACTTGTATCTCTCTCGTTATAACTTTGTTTCGCCTCATTTTCGCGTCGTTAGATTCAACTCATGGCCTAGTTTCATTCCACTCCTCGTATGCTTTGTTCTACCTCTTTTTGCATGCCGTCGGACCTTCGAAAGTTGACCAAAAATAAGATTTTTCTCTCTTTAGATGAAATTTTAAGATTCAAACCTACATGTTTAAGCACCTCCGTTTTGCCTCATTTTCGCGTCATTGATTCATCTCAGGGCCTAGTTTTCATTCCACCTCTCATATGCCTTGTTCCATCTCTTTTTGCTTGACATCGGAGCTTCAAAAATTAGCCGAAAATAAGATTTTTTTCTCTTTTTCCCCCTCTCTATCTTCTATCTCTAGCTTCTTCCTTCTTCTTTCTTCCTTCTTCCTTCCTTTGCACAATTATTCTCTCTTTTCCTCTTCTTTCATGGCCCTTCCCCCTCCCTTATGTTTCTTCCCCTTCTTGTAAGTCATATACCTTCATATTTGACAGTATTGCCACCATCAAAGGTTCAGTGGCTACCATGACCTTGGTGGAAGGGCCATGAAGGAAGAGAAAAAAAGAGAATAATTGTGGAAATGGATGAGGAAAGAAGAAGCATGGAGATAGATGATAGAAAAAAAAAAGAAAAAAAAGAGAGAAAAATCTTATTTTGGTCAATTTTCAAAGCTTTGATAGCACGCAAAAAGAGATGAAACAAGACATATAAGGGGTGAAATGAAAACTAAGCCAGAAAGTGAATCTAACGACACGAAAATGAGGCGAAACAGAGTTACAATGAAAGAGATACAAGTGCTTGAACATGTAAGCTTAAATATAAAAATTTTGCCCAAAGAGAAACATCTTATTTTTGGCCAACTTTCGGAGCTTTGACGGCACATAAAAAGAGGTGGAACAAGGCATATGAGGGGTAAAATGAAAACTAGGCCATAAAGTGAATCCAACGACGCGAAAATGAGGCGAAATAGAGTTACGATAAGGGAGATACAAGTGCTTAAACATATGGATTTGAATTTGAAATTTTGCCCAGATTTTTATTACTTCAATACGATGGAGATGGACGAGAGGCCAAATTGAAACGCGGGTGGAAGGATGTGGTTTAGTTTGTCGAAATTGAAAACCTAGGGTTTAAAATGAAAAAGGTGTGAAACCTTGGAATTTTTTTGGTAATTAACCCTAAATAATTTTAATGTCACATGACTATTCATGTATCATTTTCTGTCTAATTTTTAATTGAAATTTATTTTATGATAAATTGGAAAAAAAACTAGAACCATGAAAGACCAAAAAGAGAAAAAACATACTTTAAGGTCAAAGTGAAAAAGTGACTAAGCATAAAAAAGGGCAATGTATAATTTACCCTTTCTATATTATTCAAATAGAATATTTTATGAAGATCTTTGTGGAAGGTATATAATTTTATGAGTAAATTATATTTTAGTCTCCAAAGTATGAGTTTTACATAATTTTAGTCTTTAATATTTAAATTGTGTCAATTCAATCCCAATCCAATGTTATAAAAGTATTTCAGTTTGATTGTCAATATTCAAATTGTATCAATTCAATCTTCAATACAAAAAAGTGTTTCTATTTAATCACCAAATGTTTAAACCACATCTATTACTAGAGTTAGATTGGAAGATTAAACTGCATCTATTAATAAAAAAAAATTGAAAAAATAATTTAGTAATATATAACCACCCTCAGCTTAAAATGTTTTGCTAACCAAGTAGGATTAATTCAATTTATCACTCAGTGTTAAACATCATAAAACAATATTAAATGAAAACTCTTTCCTACGTTATTTATTTCTTCCTATTTTAGAGTTATTTTTATTTTATTGGTGTTGGGATGGGAGGTAAGAGGTGCCAAATTACATAAATAATTGCAGATTAACAATAAATAATCTACTACAAATTAACTAGAGTTATTTTTCTTTTATTTGTAAATAATCTACTACAGATTAACAATAAACAAATAACATGTAGCTCTCTCACAAAAAGTGAAAATGAAAAAGGAGAAATAAAGTGCAAAATTATAGTAACATTTTCAGTAAGCAGACAAGTGGCTCACCTCTTCTACATTTTTACAAAAAATAAAAATAAATAAATAAACACCTGAAATTGAGACGATGGATAGACAGATATAAGAGGTCAAAGGGAACTCAAGTAATCTTTAATCAAAGTGAAGAGATGACTGGAATTCGAAACACCATCCAGTTTCTGAAACATGATTCCGTCCATCCGGGCTTGAATTTCGTCAGAAGATGCCAAGTCTTGCAGCAATTCTTGCAATGTCCTATCCACCCCAACCACGGTGTTACCAATGCCGACTAAGATTTCCGGCAGGGTTGGGGACGGTCTTGATAGCTCAACAAGAGTAACCTTAACATTAAGGATAGCTATTAGAATCAAGCCTCAATAGACGTAAAAGAAATTGAATCGACAAGCTAGCAACTTTAATGTTATACATGTAAAAGAAATTGAATTGACAAACTATCAACTTCAATGTTATACATGTAAGTATATCATGTGTACACCATTAGTCCATACAGAATTTCCTGAAATAGAGATCATAATGTAAAGTAATATTGCAATATTCTCTTTAGGGTAAGTGAGACATTATAAATTTTCACTAGACTTGAGAATGAATTCAATATTTCACGAAAACACCCATTTTTATTAAAACCTGTAGAAGGGTAAACTAAAAGGAGTTTATTAACCAACCTCTCTACCTGGGGGTATATTAGCCTTCTGCTTTGCTATAGCAACAGCACGAGAAAACCCACCAATAGCATCAACTAAACCTTGTGAAACTGCTTCTTTACCAGTCCACACTCTCCCCTGTGCCACCTCCTCCATCTTATCTACCTGCAACATAAAGATTGGGCATTGATGAAGCGATTGAAAGAGTACTGCACTCCATTAGTATACATTAATTGACTACCGTACAGTCATTGATCTTGAATATGCCACCTTGTCTCTAAACTGTTTGTATGCATTCTGAACAGACTTGGCAAAGAGCTCCGCTTCATCAGGTCTACAAGACAAATTTGATTATTATTCACAAATAGTCAAACCATATTAAGTCCTGTTTGGTGCAGCTTATGGAGTTGGTTATAGCTTTTTTTATTTTGAAAATTTGTGCCGGTGTGTTGGTTTGGCCGCTTCTAAGGCAAATATAGCTTAAATAAGCTAAAAATAGCTGTTAATTGGAAACCAGGGTAAGGGGTGCTTTTAGCTTTTGCTTTGTGATTAGAAGTTGTCATTTTACAAGAAGCAACACCAAACAAGCCCTAAAACAAAAGCCTAACAAGAAAATACCACGGTGAGGGTTATCTACAGTCGAGAAATTAGGGGATTGAATTGACCTTGAAGACACCATTGTGGAAGCATAAATAATACTCCATTCGTCCCAAAATAATAGTCCCTTTTGGGAAATCTAACTTTTTTTGGTAGTACAATTATTGCACTTTAAAAAAATTAATTTTCCAAAATTACCCTTTGATAGTACATTTTTTAGAGAATATCAATTGTCATCATTTTACTTTTTGTGCTGTTAATGAATTTAAAAGAAGGGCAAAATAAGAAATTCATATTATTTTAGTTCTTAATTTTTGAAAAGGGACTAATATTTTGAGACAATGAAATAAGGGACTAATATTTGGGACGAAGGGCGTAGCAAAAATAAACCCACAATACCAAATTTTAATGTCATATTTCGATGAGGATGTGGGATCGTTGCATCAAGTCGATGCTTCCCTTTTTTGTTTTCAAAAAATACAAGCATCAGTATCCTCAACAAATCAATCAGGCATCTTACCTGAATGGTCTTGTGCTGTCTTTGCAACTTTTTGGGTTCTATGGAGAGAGAGAAATGCAAGGTTGTTTGATGAAAAGTTTCGGGAAGTGGGTTGTTTGTGGGATAGTCGTCGTCAAAGAATTGTCGATAAAGGTAATTAGCGACTAAAATTATTTTAGTCGCCAAATGTATAAAATTAAACTTCCCTACAAGCACAAATATCAAAACATCAATAGCTATAATCTAGGTCACCTAAATAGGCTTCCTTCATCGAAAGAAAAATTAGCCCACACAATGTCTCTTGCAACTTAAGCACACTAGTAACTATATGGCTACATATAAAATCGTGTAGTTCTCTTTTCTGATTATTTTGTGAAGATATGGGAAGAACGACGGCCATGTGATGATGCATCACATAGAACATAACTAGATCTGCAGCATTGACTGTATTCATAACTATAATCAAAGTCCTCCAAACAGTAATTATAAATTTATCTGCCATGTTGACTAGGCATAAAATTTGGAGTCAAGCCTCTCAGTCAGCTGCTCATTCTGTCATCGATAGGTAAGCAAGGGCAATTAAAGAACAGGATAAGGTTTGATAGAGTATCAGTCTGTTTTGGAAACATTTTATGTTCTCCGAACAGATGTCAACAAAAAATTGTCACCCTTTCAGGAATTGCTGAATATCAACTAAAGGCATCCATCCTATTAATTGTTATTGATTAACGATTGAGTTCTGGTTCTAATGTTTAAAACCTTTTGGAATAATTGTTTCTCCTTGAGACATCGTCCATTCATCGATTAGTTGAATTTTAAAATTAAGAGAAATGAAAATAAAAATTATAAATAGTGGCATGCTAAAGTGTCTAACGATATCAAAGAAACCATAAGAATGTGAATTGCTAGGTTCACCTGTCACAACACCAATTGATCTTGTTAATGTAAGATCCTCTGCAACTATAACCCCTGCAGCCATTGCCATATAGTATCCTCCACTAGCCGCCACATCAGCCATCGATGCAATGACAGGCTTTGAGGCAGCAAGGAGTCTAATTTCCCTCCACATTCTGCAAAAGATAAAAATCAAGGACAATCAGTCAATTTCTTTTTCTTTCCTTTCTATTTTACCTCTCTGCTATATGAGGAACAGAATATTAATCCAGGAATGGAGATATAAACATATGTTAATTATACTAAACATAAGAAAGAACTATGTCTGAAATTCCAATTAGCTGAGTAAACTTCACCTTCTTGTGGAACCAAATATCTTTTATGAAAAAATCTTTTGTTTACAAATCTTATTGTTTTGATGTTTCTTTCGACATGTTGTATCTTTCACTTTTAATGTCAATATTGTGTATGCAAGATATTTGCAAAATATTATCAAAAAATGCAGAACTGAATAATCATTTCTTTCGCATTCTTCAGCACAAGAATGTGATATCTAATGCACTGAGCGACGCTAAGAATAACATTATTAAGTTTTTGAGCGTCATTTCAAACAATCAGAGCACATTAGGCTCTGCCTCTCTCAAAAGCAGCATGACTGTGAACCTCCACCTAATGGGTAACCTACTTTATCTATTCCTTTTTCAAAAAATTTACTTCAACTGAAGAGATAAATGGAAACTGACTCTGAAAGTTGACTACAAAAGGAATATGGCACTAGGTCACTAGCAAGTTCATTTGAGCCAAGAGTTTATTCAAACAACAGTCTGCAATGTATTGAAGGCCTGTAAAAAAGAAAACCTTTTAAATATTGGGTGGAACATATTGAGTTAATTACATTATTTACTAGCATGTATAACTGGATTTACTTTCTAGTTTCAACTTTTCGACTTTGGTTTGGATTTCAAGCGCCCAGGAAGTGAAATTAGTCCATGGAAGTTCACACAGATTATGAAAGGCACGGCAACTGTTTTTTTTTTTTTTTTTTTTTAGAATGGCACTGCAACTGTTAACTGACAGTCTCACACCATTAGTTGGCCAGTTATTTCAACCAAAGATCAGACTGTAGTGTTCCCATCAATAGAATGCTCAATTGAGTCTTTAACTTCAGTAGCTTAGGGGAAAATATTGATTACATATACACTTAATTTCATTAGTTAACCTTTGGTTTTGATTTCAGGCTCTCAAGAAGTGGAATTAGTAGAAGTTAACACCAAAATAATCATTTCACAGCTACTAAAATAGGACTATTCGGCAAATGGAACAACAATGGAAGTTCAGCCTTTAGTGAGCTATCAATGGCGGATACAGGGAGGGGTTCTTTACATAAGATGAAGATGATAATGACACACAACTCTGTTTTTCATGAGCACACCAATCATGTTGAGATTTAGGGTCTGTTTGGAATTGACTTTTTTAGAGACATGCAAAAAAAAGTAGAGAGAATGGGTTGATTTTTTGTATTTACTTTTTGTTTTTTTGCTAAAAACTCATGTCCCAAACATAGCCTTACTGCCACCATTACGTGTGTCAATCATCTTCAACTTCGGACTTTGTCTTGCCTCTTGTCTCCTCCACTATGCAGTTGGCTGATTTTTTCACAAAATCCCACTCTGTTCTGTGTCTTTATTTTATCCTTGACAAACTCTTGACGCTTCCTCAAGTCGCATCATGACTTTGAGGGGGGTGTTACGATTGTCTTTTATTTATTTAGCTTGAAAGTAGTTTAGTCTTTGGGGTGTTATCAGGGTTTTGTTATGGTTTTGTTTATTTATTAATCTCCTTATAATATTTGATTATTATGGAATAATACGTTGCTTAGTTCTCTCCAAAAATTTGGTCATCGCTTAGCCTTACCCCTCCACAAATTGTGAGCCTTTTCCTTCATCTTCAAGCAAGCAAGCCTCCTTCTAGCTTGTGGGTTCTGGTTCTCCATCTCAAGATTTCTATTACTACCACTCTCACTCTCACTCTCACTCTCCTCCTGAGGCCACTTCAGCTCTCACCCAGCTTTCTTTGGTGGTCAGCACCAACCCAAAGTCTACCATACTTCTCAGAAAACAACCAGCCTACTCAACTCCAGCCATCCACACTGAATTTCTTGTAATTTTTTATTAATTTTTTTTTATCAACAAAGTTGGTTATGTTCTTATTTGTGTATCCTAGATGTAGTCAACAATATTAAAACATGCTTGATATAGCTCTAATGATGGGATTCATAACCCACGGAATATTTCCAAGCCAACGCACTGAAATGCCCTAAATCATTACCCCAAGTAATAAGCATTCTCGTAGATGCATTAATTAACAAACCCTCTGTTTGGAACAAGCATCATATGGTATATTCACAAGTTAAACTTACTGTAAAGAAATAACACTGCAGCACTTACAAATCACACGCAAGAGCATCACCTCCAGGACTATCAATTCGAATGACAACAGCCTTGAATCTTTTTGACTCTGGAAGAAGAGAAAGCTCAGCATTGACCAGAGAAGGAAGATATATTAACTACGAGTTAACAAAAAAAACTGCAAGGGAGAGAAACAAAAGATGAAAAAGAAAACTATGTATACAGCCAGAAGCTAAAATAAAAAATAAAGAATGGAATACAAGATTTCAATTACATTGCAATTCCTCATTAATCAACACAAGCATATGCCATGTAAACTTTGTGTTCCTACATAGGGCACACATATAAGCCTCATAGAGCGTCTTCAAATTTTATTTATTTATTAATTATTATTATTATTATTTTGCATATCTACATATCAATATATACCAGGTATTCAAATTATGTACATTAATTCAGTTGATTATTCTCTAACTTTTGCTTTCCTTTTTTCTCAGCTAGCAGTAAAACATATAGACAAAGCCATAAGAGTTCTTCAAATTACAAATCCACTTCTTCATTTAAATGTACTCAATTAAAAAGGGTTATTTTTCTTCCCACAGCTCCCTTGGGGCCATGGATAATTAGAGTATCGTTCTTTGAGATCTAATATGACTAGGATCCAGCATCAGAGCAGCCATTTTTGTAACTACAATTTATCTTTTAAATTCAAGTTTATTCATGTTTAGGATTTGAAACAACTCACTTTTTATTTCTTTCTCCTTATT